CGGATAAAAGTTACCTCCAGCCACCAATGCGGATAACAGCAGGATCCTGATCATGGTGTGTCCGTGGATGTCTATAGGTCTGGCCCTGGCTAAGCTTCCTTTTTATGAGTGGGCTTATCAGCCAGAGAAACAGGAGGAGTGTGCAAGGTGGAGATTTTCCCAAAGCCCAGTGGAATAAAAGGCTGGAGTCCAAATATTTTTTTTCCATTTCCTTCCACCTGTTATGATGGAAGTACACTGAGAAGCCTATCAGAGATAGGTACTGAAGGCTGACTTCTGCTGAGTGTGCCAGCACGCACCTGGAATCCCAGCAGTGGGGAGGTGGAGGCAGGTTGGTGAGTTGAGATCATCCATGACTACATAGAGTATTTGAGGCCAGCCTGGGCTATACAAGACTGTTTCACCAACCCCCCTCCCCAAACAACAACAACAGCAGCAGCAACACCACCACCAACAGAAATGTAGATTCTATTTGCTTTCAAGAGACAGCCGTATGTTATGGGAGGGAGACTAATGCTGCTTGTTCTTGGAGTTGCATTTTCAAAAGAAAATATTAAACCAGCCTATGGAGCACACAGCATTCCAGGCCGACAGCTCTCCACTGGGCTGGTTTAGCCCCCAGGGATACTTGATGTCTGCAGATGTTTTTGGTAGTCATGGCTTGGGTTCACATACTACTGACATCTGAGGATAGAGAACAGAGAGGCTGCTGGGCATCCTGTAGGCACAGGACAACGAAGGACTTCTCATACTCCAATCACCAAGTGTGCCAAGACTGAGAATGCCTTAGACCAGGCTCTGGCTGGCTATATGGCCTTGGGTGAGCTGTGTGGGTCTCTAGGCCCAAAGCTGACTCTGGGAGGGACAAGATGAGACATGTACACCCAGTGTGCTCCACAGTGTCCTGGGGGAGATTTTCAAAACACAGAGAACATGCTTGCTTAGGAGAAGGGCCAGATGTGAACTGAATGGATGCAGTGCTGAGCAAGGGAGAGTGTGCCAGAGGAAGGCTTTGTTGGGATGGGTTGGAGGTATGTTCGTTCATTAATTATTTAGCATGTGCAGTATATATATGTGTGTGTGTGTGTGTGTGTGTGTGTGTGTGTGTGTTCTCTCTCTCTCTCTCTCTCTCTCTCTCTCTCTCTCTCTCTCTCTCTCTCTCTCCCTGCCCACGCATGCATGTTGCAGAGGCCTGAGCAGGACTTTGGGTGTCCTCTTCTGGTGCTCTTTCTCTCTCTCTCTTTAATGCTTGTTTTGTTTTGTTTGAGACAGGGTCTTACTATGTAGCCCTGGACGGCCTGAAACTCACTGTCATAGACTAGATCGGTCTTGAACTCACAGAGTCCCATCTGCCTCTGCTTCCTGAGTGCTAGGATTAAAGGTATGAGCCATGATGCCAAGAACCTTATTTTTTTTTTGAAGCAGATTCTCTCACTGAACGTGAAATTCTCCGTTTAGGTGAGGCTGGCTGACCAGCAAACTCTTAGCACCCGCTTGTCTCCACCCTCCAGTACTGGGGTTGCAGGCATGGGTGCCTGTGACCGGTTTTTCTCATGGATGCTATGCTGGGGATTTGAACTCAGGTCATCTTGTTTGTACAGCAAGTGTTCCCACCCTCTGAGCCATCCATCTCTCCCCCTCTACTTTATCTCCATTGTTCTGTTAGGGTAGAGGTTTGAGACAGAACCTCTCTGAGGCTGAAGTTCTCATAGTGCTAACTCATCGCAATCCTTCTGCCTCAGCCTTCTGTGTGCTGGGATAACAGGCATATGTGTGCCACCATGGCTGACACTCAGGTGTATTTTTATCGTCTGCTCCCAAGACACCGGTGGTTTGAATTTTCTCCGTCTTAGGAAGGGTGCAAACAGAGACAGGCAAGGTACCTTTAGGAGCCTTCGTGCTTCTTATTTAATCCAAAGCCTAGAAAACCTGCCTCATTATTTCGGATGAGGAGACTGAGGTTCCCAGAGGGAAAGTGGCTTGCCGCAAGACACACAGCTACAGGTGTCAGAGTGAAGCCCCCCATGATCTGATTCCAGGCTGTCTCTGGAACTTCACTCTTCCCCCTGCTGGTGAGGGATGGAATAGCAGCGATGGCATTGCTGTTGCAGATCAGGTGCTAGTGGGACATCCTTTAAATGATGTGTAGCTGTGTATGAAAATGTTCACGTGAGGGTAGGTACCCACAGAGGCAGAAGAAGGCGGCAGATTCCCTGGACCTGGAACTGTGGTGTGGGTGCTGGGAACCAAACTCAGGTCCTCTGCAAAAGTAGTATGTGCTTTGAACCACTGAATCCCTTCTCCAGCCTCTGGGCTTCAACTCCTAAGACCTGGACTCGAGTCCTTGTCAGTGACTTCAGAGAGCCATAGTTCAGACAGGTTGCCAGTCTTCTGAGCCTCAGTTTCCTCATTAAGGAGTCAGGCCCCAGCTGGGTGTGGTGGCACAGGCATTTAATCCCAGTACTCAGGAGGCGAAGCAGGTAGATGTCTGAGTTCAAGGACAGCTTGGTCTACAGAGTGAGTTCCAGGACAGCCAGGGCTACACAGAGAAACCTTGTCTCAACAAAACAAAACGAAACAAAACAAAAACAATCAAACAAACAAACAAACAAGAAAAAACAAAAATAAACGAAAGAAAGACAGACAGACAGACAGTTAGCAACTTCCTAAATCTAACACAAAGGTTGAGAGGATTCATTTATGGATACCAGTTGATAAACAATCACGTTTATTGTCTGGGTCAGTCGGGATCCGATGGAGCCAGACACGCAATCCCTTGTAAAACTGCTAAAGATTTCAGTGAGGTATCCCATTCCTTCCCCCATATGATGCTTTCTATGCTGTTCAATAAAGGGAATGAAGCCCTTTGTGAGGGACAGACAGACACAGTCACCCAACAACAGACATACTGACAGAAGAGACAGTCTCACACACAGGGACAAACAGACACAGGGATAGACAGATTCACATGACAGCCTCCAGGCAGGCACATATTCAGACGGATACAGGAGACAGACAAAGGATGGAAGTGTCCGGGAGCATGAAGTTGAGAATTTAAATCTGGACCCACTTTTGGTTAAATGACTCCAAGGGGAAGCCCTGCCATTTCTTTCCTTAATGCATAGTTATTGGGACTCAGAGCTGATCACTAATGCGTGTAATCCATGCAAACAGCAATCAGAACCGCAGATGTAGTTCAGGAGTGCTTCCCTAGTGAAACCCTTGGGTTGGAATCACAACACTGCAGAAAATTAGGTCCTGGTGGCTCAGACCTGTGATCCTAGGGCTCTCGGGGATGGCAGCAGGGGCATCAGGTGTTCCTCTCAATTATGCAGCAACTTCAGCCTGGGGACATGAGACCCTAACTCAAAAAAGAAAGGAAGGAGGGAGGAAAGAAGAAAAGAAGGAAGAAAAGAAGGAAGGAAGGAAGCCAGCCAGCCAGCCAGCCAGCCAGCCAGCCAGCCAGCCACAGTTCTGGGACTGCCATGTGGATGGCAAGCTCCGCAAGAGACTTGCAAAGATGAAGGGTGTTGGGGTGCAGAATCCTGTCAGACTGGAATTCAGACAACATGTGTTCTGGTGAGTTCTACCCCTAACGCCCTGTAATGGTCAGGACCTTTGTTTATGGTCATAGAGGTCCTGACAGCTGCCATTTTGGAAGTGTCGATTTTCCCTTAACGTTCAAAGTGCAGGTGGCACTCTCTTCCGGGGGTTGGCTTTGATATCAAAATAGTTTTCTCTAGTTGAAGTCATTGAACAAACAGCAGCTTGGCACGAGCCATGGGCTTGCTCTTGTGACCTTGGGCAAGGCTCAAGGCAGGCTCTCTGCCTGAGGGCAGTCTATCCACAAAATGGAAGAAAGCATGCTCAAAGTCTCTCTCTGTCTCTCAAATTGAACCTGGGAACTTGAACATGCTAGGCAGGCACCCCATTCCTGAACTCTGTCTCCAGCCCCTATCCATAACCGCTGGCTGAGCCATCTCTCCAGCCCCAAATCATCAAATGACTGGCAAGTCCTCCCCACCAGCTGCGTTTTGCTCTTGTGATGCTCGGCCTCTTACTGTGGGAGCCTTCCAAGTGTCGTCGTCGTCGTCGTCATCGTTGTCGTCGGTCCCACCCCTTAGACACCATCCCCAGTTTCGACAACCAAAAACGTCCCTACCCATTGCCAGTTGTACCCTGGGGAACAAGTCACCCCTCGGTCATTCCCTTTCCGTTTTGTGGTTGTAGCCTCAGATCATTTCATGAGAACTTAAGGTAGTTCTTCCCAACAAGCTGACTGGGCTTGCCCCTGGTTACATGACCTCCCTGGGACCCAGGGCCTGCTGGGGAACTGGTGGGGCCTGCGGCATATGCTCCATCCTCGGTCTTGGCAGGGAGGCTTCCCCCAGACCGTTTCCCCAGGACTAAGGCTGGGCTGCACATGCATCCAACCCTGGTTTCTGTGCTGAGAGGGAGCAGCGAGGAGCCCTGTAGCCCCCTCCCCTAAACTCCCACACAGCTGGAGAGCCTGCTTCTAGCAAGCTCTAAACTGGGCTGTGTGACCTTGGCTGGGTGACAGGTGGAGCCGTACTGCAGATGTGACCTTCTCACCGGCTCTTGACTCACAACAACTCCTCTGAGAAGCCAGGTGGCTGGCTCCCTGGCTCTGGGCCTGGGCTCAGCGTGGGCATTTTCGTGTGGGCATCCTGGGTCGGGGTTCTGGCCTGGCCTTGTGGCTGGGGCCAGATGGGAAACGCGGAACTCTCACCCGGACCTCTGGTCTCCGGATTCGGCATCTGCAGCCAGACGTCATCTGGGGGGAGATACTGGCTTGGCCCTAGAGCGCATGTCAACTGGCTGCTCCTTAGCAAACGGTCTCAGAGCCAGTGTTGTCGATCCCTGACTCTGGCGGTCTGTCTACTTAGATTCTCAGAGGGGAACTGTGCAAGCAGTGTGTGTGTGTGTGTGTGTGTGTGTGTGTGCGCGCGCGCGCGCGCATGTATGTCTTTAAGTGTGTGTGCATGTGTGTATATATGTATCAATGTCTATATACGTATGCCTCTGTGTATACGTGTTTTAAGCGGTCTTAGTGTGTATACATGTGTAAATGTATTAGTATATATGTGTATGTGTATGAATGAATGTATATATGTATATGGAGTTCTTCTATATATATGTATGTGTATAAGTGTGTATGTATGTGTGCATTGATATGTGTGTATGTGTGTTTAAGTATGTGTTTTTTTTGTGTGTATACATGTATGCGTGTGTTCATAGGCATATTGATATATATGTTTGTCTCTCTGTGTGAGTGGGTATATGTGTATTTGCTTATGTATGTATATATGTGTGTGTGCATGCATATGTTAGGTATGTATACATGTGTATGTGTTTATGTATGTATTAGTGTATATATGCAAGTGTGAGTATACCTAAGTATAAATGTGTTTGAATGTATATGTATCTGTATGTACATTTGTGCATATCTGTAAGTGTGTACATGTGAGTGTTTATGTGTCTGTGTATCTGGGTGTTAAGCGTGTGTATGTGTGTGTGTGTGTATTTGTATGTGTCTCTGTGTATGCACGTCTGTGTTTAGTTGGGTGTATGCCTGTGTTTATGTGGGTATGTGTATATGTATGTGCATGTGTGTGTGAGGCAGGGTCTCATGTGGCCCAGGTTGGCCTCAAACTCACTATGTAGGCTGGCTAAGACGGCTTCGTGGGTGAACACTTGCTGTGTGAAGGTGGAAGGAGAGAATCAGCTCCCGAAAGTGTCCTCTTCCTGCGTGGCACGTGTGCACTGCACCCTCTGTGTTGTACACACACAACACCGGTTTTTAAAAATCGCCATGTGACCAAGGATCCAGCGGATACATAGAACACACGCCTGTAATCCCAGATCCCGGGAGGTGTTCTTTTTCTTTTTTTAGACAAGTATCTCACCCTGTAGCCTAGAACCCGCCTACGCCTCCTCAGTGCTGGCATTATAGGCCTTACTACCGAGCTACCTAGTGATCATTCTTTTCCTGTGTGATTTTATCTATGTCTGTCTGTCTGTCCACCTGTCTGTCTGTCTGTCTGTCTGTCTGCCTGTCTACCTACCTACCTGTCTTTGGAGATGGGGGCTCACGTAGTCCAGGCTGGTCTATAACTTGCTATGTAGTCGAGGGTGACCTTGAACTCCTCCACTGCTCCACTGGGAGCAGCAATTCTTCTCCTCTGTCTCTCTAGATTCCTCGCTGCTTCCTGCCACCTGCACCCCCTCCTCGGTTACTAGAGCACGTCTGTACCTGAAGGGGTCCGTGTGACTCTAGGCTCCTGTTGGAGTAGTGTGGCTATCCAGGGCACAGCTGTGTAGTTGGACTTTAAATCTTGGCGCCCCGTTCCTGGATATGCGGTCTGAGGGTGGGGATTTAAGCCTCTTTGAGCCTGAGGTTCTCATCTAGAGGGGATAAGTGGCCAGGGCTCTCTGTGGCTGAAATAAGCTGGTATTAATGCTTCTCAGCATGTGTGAGTCAGAGCAATTGCTACTCTTACCCATGGCAGCATCATGGGTGAGCACAGGGCTCTCCAGTCAGAGCCAGCCACCCCTCCCTCAACCCAGTGCGAGTTCTTAGAAAGATGCTGTGTCTGGCTGACTGATCAGAACTGCAGTGATGTGGAGACTTTGGAATGTTGCAGACATAATTAAGTTTATCTTGCGTGGTCTTTAGTCTACTAAATATCCATTCCTGGCCCCAGCTCTCTGTCTTAACAAATATCCCGCTGACACCCAGACCTGACAACCTGACAAATAGATAAAAACTAACTGTTTGGAATGTATTAAGTTAACAAAATCCTACTTTCCCACCGAAAACGAAGGTTGTTGATTAGCAGTGAGGCCTATGGCAGAGTCCTCCCATCTTCCCATAACCCGGCTACCTGATGTCACCATCAACATATTTGAACAGTCTCTCAATTTGTGGCTTTCTTTGTTCTGTTGCTATAAAAAGGTCATGAAATCGCAACCTCATTGGAACATCGTATTTGAGGAGAATTGAATCTACATTCCTCGGTCATGGTTACTCATATTTGGCTGCAGAATAAACCATGCATTTTATTCCTTTGTGGTGAGAGCTGTTTCTTTTATCAACACTGTGAGGAAAATGGGGGATAAAGCTGGGTGTGGTAGCGCACACTTTTAATCCCAACACTGGGAGGCAGAGGCAGGCAGATCTCTGTGAGTTCAAGGCCAGCCTGGTTCATAGTGAGTTCCAGCAAAGCTGAGGTTACATAATAGAGACCCTGTCTCAAAGAGGAGGGGGCAGTTAAAACTCGAGTTTGAATTCCTCTCACTTCCAACCACCAGTTTGTGGCCTCTCAACCAAGTCCTCCAATAAAGCTATCACCCAAATGGTCCCAGGGCATCTTTCATGACCCGCCTTTATCCCTGACTCCGACATTTTCCTTCTGTAGGAGGCGATGGTGCCTGGTGTTGCTTTGGCTATGGTATCAGTCACCACACACCATGTCAATTTCTCATCTTAAAGTTCTGGAGACAAGGGAGTCCAGTTTATTCCACAGGGCCAACTCATGGTGTCAGCATGGCTGGCTTTCTTCGCAAGCTGCAGGAAGAGTTCATCTGGAGCAGTGGTCCTCAACCTTCCTAATGCTGAGTTCTTCATGTTGTGGTGACCACCCCTCAACCATAAAATTATTATCGTTACTACTTCATAACAGTGATTTTGCTACTGTTATGAATAGAAATGTAAATATCTGATAGGCAGGAGATCTGATACTGGATCCCCACAGGGGTCATGACCCACAGGCTGAGAACAATTGATGTGGACCCGTTCCAGCTCCTGATAACTGCCTGCATCTCTTGTCTTGTGGACCCTCCTCTGTGTTCACGTCTCCCTGACCCTGACCCCCTGGGGGAGGGTCATCGTTCATCCTTAAGTCTCCAATGTGACTGTCTTATCTCCTTTTTATGGGACCCCACTGATCACACTGGGCCCGGTCCTCAGGCTGTGATGGTCAGTCCTGACTGTCATCTTGACTGGCGTGAGAGTCACCTAGGAGATTATGGAAGGACACCTCTGGGTTTTTGGAAAGGGTTTGGCTAGGTGAGTTCTGGCCTCATCCATAGTTTCATTCATCTGTGGATTTCAATAAGCAATTAGAAGGAGGCGGGACTGGGGAAGGTGGGGCCTGGCTGGAGGAAGTAGGTACTTGGAGGACATGTCCACAGGGGGTTGTGTCTTTCCCTACTCAATTCCGTTTTGTTCCTTTCTGTTTCATGTTCCCCATGATATTGGCTACCCAGCCATGCCCTTCTGCCACAATGCTCTGAAACTGTAAGCAAAGTAAATCCCCACCCCCACCCCCCCGTAAGCTGTTTCTACCAGGTCACGGTGATGGAAAAACTTACACACAGACGGATCACCTCATCTCAAGATTCTAAATCAAATGTGAAAATTCCCCTTTGCCCTGGGAGCTTCCATGTTCATAGATTCCGGAGTTCACGATGTGAACTTTTCAGGGAACATGATTTATTTAACCCAGGCCTTGATTCTTGGGCACTATAAGTGGATTGTGTCACCAAACCGGAAAATGTTACACTTTTTTTTTCCCTATTTTTAAAAGAGATTTATTTATTATGTATACAGCATTCTGCCTGCATGTATGCCCACACTGCAGGCCAGAAGAGGGCACCAGAACTCATTACAGACAGCTGTAAGTCACCATGTGGTTGCTGGGAATTGAACCTTTGGACCTCTGGAAGAGCAGCCAGTGCTCTTAACCTCTGAACCATCTCTCCAGACTCTCCCCGTATTTGGAGATAGCTCTCACTTTGTAGCTGAGGCTGGCTTAGAACTCAGTGCTCCCCAGGCCTGTGGCTCCTGTTCAACTTGGTGCTAACGAATAGAGTGTATTTTTTCATGACAGTCACCCTGGCTGTCCTGGAACTCACAGAGATTTGCCTGCTTCTGCCTCCTGAGCGTGGGGACCCAGAATGCAATTTAGAAATGCATCACTACACCCTGCCAAACAGAGTACTTTTAAATTGCATTCTAGAGGGTTATAGTGACTTGAGGACTGAGAGAGTCTTTTCTACTCAACCTGTGACAGCTTTTGAGGTGGCTTTAGGGCTTGAACTCAGGGCCCCACACACGCTAGGCCAGCACTCTACCTCTGAGCTACATTTTCGGCTGGTGACCAGCTAGTATTTTCCTTTCTGCTTTCCACAGCCACCACCATGCAGACCACGTTACCTTTTGCCGAGACCATTGCAGCAGCCTCCTGGCTTGGCCTCTGTTGTGAGGACTTTCACCCCAGCGGAGGGGCTAGGCAATGTAACCTTTCCCCCAAGACAAACCACAGTTTGAGTCTACCACGTTCACACTGCAGAACCGTTGAGGTTTGGGGGCTGTCAGGAAGGGTCTCTGACAGGAGCATGGGAGACCGAAAAGCAGCCACACTGAAGAGTCTGCACCCAGCATGCATCCCAAAGCTCTGCAGATGGAGTCCCTTTCCTTTGGTCCTATCCATCCTGCCTCTGTTCCTGTCTCTGAGATGCCAAAGCTACCCACAAACAATTAGGGCAGAATCACAGTCAAATGGCTTGGAGGAGAGGTTGGCTACTCAGTGAGGGTCTGATCACCCCTCACCTCCTCCTTCTAAGAGGGACTCTCTACAGTCATCAGGCCTCGCTGTGATGAGCTTTGGCATGCAGGCACAGATGAACTCATGAAAATGGCGTCTGTTTCGTTCCACAGATAGTGCTGAACAGCAGCCTCCCTGTGTCCACCCCAGTGCTTCAGTGTGTACTCGTGAGCACTTCTCTGTCTAAAACCTTGTGGGCTCCCCAGTTGCCCTCTGAGACCCAGCCACCCTCAGCACAGCATGAGGGCTTTAAGGAAGGGTCTTGGTTGGTTCCCCAGGTAGCCCTTACTCTGGCTTTCCTTGCTGGGGTGACCAAGTTCTAGGTTTAGCACTAGAACTCTGGCATCTTGGAAAACTCCTCAGTCCAGGGCAACCCAGGGTGGCTAGTCACCTGCCTGCCCACCCTCCCACCCGACCATGCTCTAGCAACAGCAACTGCAGAGTTCCCTTGCAGGCTCTCACTGTGGCTTTACTCAGGAAGCGGAAGTCCCTCCCCTTTCCCTGCTCTGCTGCCCCTTAGGACTGTGCCGAGCTGCAAGAACTGAGAGCTAGCCAGGCTTTGCGGGCTAGCCTTAAATCCAGCACTTGGAAGGCAGAGGCAGGTGGATCTCTGTGAGTACCATGCCCCATCCTGGTTTACATAGGAAGTTCCAGGTCGGCCAGGGCTATACAGTAAGACCCCGTCTAAAAAGAAGAAATAAGCTGGGTTGTGGTGACCCACCCTTTAATCCCAGCACTCAGGAGGCAAAGCCAGGCAGATCTCTGTGAGTTCGAGCCCAACCTGGTCTTCAAAGCGAGTTCCAGAAAAGGCTCAAAGCTACACAGAGAAACCCTGTCTCAAAAAACCAAAATAAAATAAAATACATAAATAAATAAATAAATAGTTAATGACAGTGGCTCAAACAGATGCAGGCTTATTTTTATTTTTAAGAGAAATTCAGAGGGGAATGGTTGCTGGCCTCAGATCTGCAGCCTCAGCTCAACAAGGTCTGAGCTGGTGTCACTGCAGTCCGCAGGGCCACATGATGGCTGCCTCAGCTCCAGCCATCATGCCTGTGTTCAAGGTGTAACATCAATATGTGCTGGTTCCCCTTACAGGAAAGATTTTCCTTCTCCCTATTTGTGCTCCAATCCATGATCTCTGGAGCCAGATTAGCAGTGTCTGAATCTGAGCTCCCTCACTTTCTAGTTAAGCTATTCTGGGAGATCACCAGATCTTTCTGACCTTAGTTTTCTCATCTGTCAAATGGGATGTGTGTGCTGACAGCCAACCTCACAGGCCTCTGCTGGGGAGTTGAGATGAATGTAAAACAGGTACAGAGCTCACGGAACATTAGCTTATTTCATTATTATGTTCTCTTGGCCAGAACAGATTCCCCTGGTTCCTTACCTGCAAGGGACCTGGGGCCAACAAGAGTTGAGCACATGTCACCACCACATAGAGACAGGCAGGAAAGAAGGTGTCTGGGGATGCAGCTTGGACCAAACAACCAGCAATACTCTTAGGAAACTTCTATTCCGATTTTAGGAACCAGCTTGACATCGCCACCTTCAGGAAGCCCTCCTGGATTTCTGCTACCAACAGACACTGGTTAAGGTAGCTCATTTCTGTTCCCCTGGTCTGTGTTTCTGAACACACACACACACACACACACACACACACACACACACACGCATGCACACACATGCGCTCATGATGCATACACACTGGTCTACTACAGAGCAAGGATCTTCTCTGAAACTGGGGACCCTTACACCCCCTCTCTTTCTGAGTAACAAGGACACTCCTGAGAAAGGCACCCTGGGGCAGGGGAGGCCCGTAACGGTCCTTGCCTCCAGCAGCTGATGATTGATGGAAGAAGCAGGGCAGGTGATGGACCAATCAGTAGCTGTAGCTAGGGGCTCCTGGGAGGAGGTAGAGGTTGTGGTGATCCCCCAACCATAAAATCATTTCGTTTCTACTTCATAACTGTAATTGCTACTGTTATGAGTCATAATGTAATATCTGATATGCAGGAGAGCTGATAAGCCACCCCCAAAGGGGTCACAGCTTTTGGGTGGATTGTGGAAGGAGCAGAAGTTGGGCTAGAAAAGCCATTGAGTGACGAGATCTCAGTGGGCTGTTCCGTGGGAGCGTGGATGAGAGCAGCGTAAACGATGGAGGCCTGGCTTGTGAAGTTTCAGAGGGAAGTTTAAAGACTCTATCAAGGCCATTTATTACTTTGAATTAAAATTCTGTAGGTCCAGAGGCAGGCAGATCTCTAAGTTCAAGGCCAGCCTGATCTACAGAGTGACTTCTAGGACAGCCAGGGCTACACAGAGAAACTCTGTAAAAACAAACAAACAAACAAACAAAAACCCCGAAAGTATGCCTGTGTGGGGGAGATTCTGTGGTTCTGGTTAGCTGGGACTGAAGAATCAGCTGTGATTGACAAAATACAGAACTACTAAAGTGAAATCTTTGCTGGGCTACTCCATGCTGGTTGGCTGGAGCTGAGAAATTAGTGGTGATCAGGAAGAGGCCAGCATTGCTGAGGAGAAATCTCGGGAAAGTGTTTCCTGAGAGCCAGCACACAGAAGCTGTGTTCCAGACATCGCCGAGGTTGTACCATGTCACATTGGCAGCCAAACTTGGTAGGGTAACAATCACCCCGTGGTGCTGATTTTGAAGGTGTGAAGGGGTCCTGGAGAGCAGCTGAGGCTTGGCACTGTGTGGCAGGGGTAGAGTCCCTGAAGAGAGCCCAGGAGAGGCCATTGGTGAGAGTGCAGGCCAGTCACAGCAGAAGACCCCAGCATTTTGGAGGTGCATGTCCCATGGGATGACCACCAGGAACAGCAGCAGCAGTGGAGTGGAGCCACCAGAGCCTAGAGGACGAGCTGTGTGTGCAGAGGGCAGAGCCAGAGAGTGACCCCAAACCCTTTGGCAGAGTCCGGGAGATGGTGAGTGGGTCCCAAACATTGTGTACTGAGTTATTTACAGTTGAGGCTTGGCTTTGCTTTGATTTAACTGTGACTGTGCCCTGGCTCTTCCCTCTTGAAGGAAAAAGGTATTTAATTGATTTTTGATTTTATAGGAGCCCACAGTTGAGAGACTGAATTTTGAAGAGATTCTAGGTTTTAAAAGAGACTTTGGATTATTTAAATAGACTGGGTTTTAAAGTGTTTGAATTTGTATAGACTGTGGGACTTGTAAGGCTTGGAATATTCTACATCGTGATGTTCTTATTAATGTGTGCCTTTAGGGATGAACAAGAAAGGAAAGGTGTGGCTTAACAGTGATGTGTTTGTGTGTCAGGTTGACAAGCTGTGCTAGCTAGTTTCATGTCAACTTGACACAAGTTATAGTCATCAGAGAGAAGGGGGACTCAATTTAGAAAATGCCTCCAGGGACTGGAGAGATGGCTCAGAGGTTAAGAGCATCAGCTGCTCTTCCAGAGGTCCTGAGTTCAATTCCCAGCAACTACATGGTGGCTCACAACCATCCATAATGAGATCTGGTGCCCTCTTCTGGCCTGCAGGCATACATGCAGGCAGAACACTGGATACATAAATAAAGATTCTTTCTTTAAGAAAGAAAGAGAGAGAGAGAGAAAGAGAAAGAAAGAGAGAAAGAAAGAAAATGCTTCCATCAGATAACAGCTGTTGTTGAGACTTCTGGGAAGGAGGGAACCTGCTGGGCACTCATCCCTAGGAATTAATGGTTGTCTCTGAGATCGGTGCATCTTCTTGTGACCTGGTCTTTGAGGAGCCCCCTGCCTCCACCTGTAGCTGGAGGCCCTAAACTTTAATTCTGATCCCTTCAGCTACCTGCTTGCCTCCTGTTAACACAGTGACACCTGTCTTTAACATCTCTATGGCCTGGCCTAAGATGTACGTTTCCAGTGCATGGAGATCCAGGAACTCCCGGAAGGCATAAACGAATGTACCCAGGTGCTCTTGAAAGGCGCTTTATTGCTGTCGGGAGATGGGCTGCAAGGCTTCTGGAACCGACTCTTTACAGCTGTATTTTCTGGTGGAACAGAAGCCAGTATGAGTGACTCTGGAACATGGTACCCTCTGGGGCAGAACAAAGGCCAGGAGGGTAGTAGGTTCCCAGCAGGGCCACGGCCAGGCCTGGTCTCTGCTCAAAAGGCTCTGGGTCTCCCAGCTTTTCAGAGCACAATGCATGTGGGCTTAGAAGACACCCTATACTTATTGGGGGCTACTTGCCCAGGGTGCCTCTGTCCCCACACCCTTAAGCCTTTATATGACCACCCATGTGCCCCCTCTGCGATGCCCCCTCCCACTCCTGATTCAGCCAGGGTATCTCAGTGGGAGAATGGAACTTGAACATGAGCTTAAGGGACCCGGGAATACATCCAGGAGGAGGCAGTGAAGACGAGGCCACGCGAGGAAGTGGGCTCAGGGCCACAGGGAGGGGTGCAGGGGACACCTACCTCATTGATCCAGTCGTTATAGGCAGACACGCGGGTAAAGACCACTGGCTTCTTGTATGTGTTGCAGCCTTGGCTGGAGCCAAAGCTCACGATGCCATGCACCTGCCAGGAGCCGTCCTCTGCCTGGCAGTTGAGTGGACCACCGGAGTCTCCCTAGGGGCATCCAAGCAGCCAGCCTCAGCCCCAGCCCTCCCCCAGAGGCTGGCTCTGGCTGCTGTGGGAGATGTGAGCTGGGGCCCTTGGCCTCCATACCTATTATTTAGGCCTCAGGCTAGCTGTGGGGATAGTGACAGAGAAAAGTGTGGGGACTAGGCTGGCTTTTAGTTTGCTGTGATCTGGGAGGATGCCAAAGGACTCTGCCTCAGTTTCCCTGACTGTTCAGGTCACTGAGTGTAAGCTTCTGAGAGCTCCCCAGAGAGTCGGAGGCTGGGGACCCTGAAGAGGCCTGGGAAAGTAGGGAGGCTGGTGTGGGGAGAGGGTCGTGTGTTTCAGAATGGACAGTCTCCCGTTGTCCCGGATGTTTTGTGGTCATACTCCAAGTCCCTGTCTCCCTGGACTGGTGCACCAGAGCCTCCAGGAATGGAACATGAAGGAAGTCACTTCATGCTGCTAAGACTCATTTCGTCTCACAGTGTGAAGTGGTTCCTATGGCCTCGTTTTTTTTTTTGATGTGCGTATGTGCATGCATGCGTGTATTTATGTGTGTGTGTCTGTGAGGATGCAGGTATTCATGCCAGTGTGCATGCAGGTGTATGTGGAGCCAGAAGACACCCTGGCATGTCATCTTCAAGTGTACTTCTCTCTGGCCTGGAGCTGGCCGACTGGGCTGGACTCATTGGCCAGTGAGACCCAGGAGTTCTCTTGTCTCCACCTCCCTAGCACTGGGATTCAGAGGCACCACCATGCTTGGCATTTTTATAACGTGAGTTCTGGGGATCGAATTTAGGTCTTTGTGCTTGCAAGGCAAACACTACCAAGTGAATTATCTCCCCAGCCCTAGCCACATTTTTTTTTCTCGTGTGTGTGTGTGTGTGTGTGTGTGTGTGTGTGTGTGTGTGTATTTTTTGTGGGCATGCATACCTGTCACGATAGAGATCAGAGGACACTGTAGGAGTTGGCCCTCTCCTTCTCCCACGGTTTCTGAGGCTCAAACTCAGGTCACCTTGGGTCACCTTTACTCTTTGAGCCCCCCTCCCCCCCTACCCGTCCCCCTTTATAGCGCACTTCAGCAGCCCATGCAATTGCTGGCTCCTTTGGGACTTGAACTGCTCATGTCCAGCCCCCTGCCTCTCCCCATGCACTGGGGCTGAGCAGCGAGGGATGGGCTGAGTAACCTCTTTCTCCTAGGCCTGCAGGGTCCATCAGGGCTTGGCTTCTTAGTGGGGGCGCCCGGGGGGGGGGGCGGGCGTTGATTGGCTCCAACTACCCTGCTCTGCCCGCCTCCCTGCTGCCCCCTGGTGTGGGGTCAGGACACTCACATTGCAGGCAGAGATGACTCCATCACCGCCGGCGCACACCATTGTCTTCCTGACCTTGATGAACCACCAGTCCAACCGGGAGCACGTGGCGTGGCTCACTATGGGCTGCAGGCCCTGCTGGAGCACGTCGGCAATGGGACCACCAGCTGGGGAGAGAGAGCAGCCATGCCAGGGGGTCAGCCAGTGCCCTCAGGCCAGCCATAGCGCTGGTCTCCCGCCCGCAGGAGACTGGGAACTGGCAAAGGCAAGTTCTGGTGCCCGGAAGGCTCTGGGAACCATGTGCGCCCTTCATCGGGATGGCCCAAACCTTTGGGTCACGGTCCCTTGGAGACCGTATCTTTAGTGTGGAGCCTGCCTCCTTCCTCTTTCTGTTTCGCTGTGCTAGGGGTCAGACCCAGGGCTCTGAGTATGCTAGGCAAGCCGTCTGCCGCTGAGCTGGATCCCTTCTATTTTGCGACAGGGTCTCCCTGAATCGCCTAGGCTGGTCTCGAACTCACTCTGAACTGAGCCAGGTTGACCCGCGATCCCTCTTCCTCGGCTGGGATCTCGAGGGTTCAACTGTCTGCCACTTCCTTCCAGAACTTCATCTTAGCTGCACACATCTGAAGGCCTTCTTCTCCCGGGATGTTCTTAAGAGCCAACCTGTGCTTTCTCTAAGTCTTGCCTCGTTTTAATGTTCATTTAACCGTCTAGTTCAGCAGGCATTGGCTTGGGCACCCGTTTGCGGTGAGATCTAGACTCCTACCCCTAAGTGGATGGTTTTGGTTAGTTGGTTAGTGTATTTCTTATTTTGATACAGGTTCTCATGTAGCCTCGGCTGGTCTCAAACTCCCTATGTAGTGTCCTTGAACTCCTGACCCTCCAGCCTCCACCTTCCAAGTTCTGGATCACAGGAGTGCATGACCAGGCCTGCCTTTTGTTTTTGGTTTATTTATGTGACTGGGGCAATGAGCCAATTCCTGTTCTAAATACCTGATGAGTTCTAGCCTACTGAACCCTTATGTCACCCACCACATTGACTTGTGACATGCTTGTCACATGGTCTGGGCTGAGTAAATCAATAGTCGCTGTTATTATAACAGAGGTTTAAAATCTATGACGCTATCAGGCAGGAGGGAGAATGTGGGAGACGTTCTAATCTCGAGTGGCACCTCCTCAAGGAAGCCTCGGGGGTGTCCCGCTGCAGGCTGTACTCACTCCAGAGGCGACCCCAACCGGTGACGTAGCAGGGGTAGTCCTGAGGCAGCAGGGCACCTTCCTCTGGGATGCAGCCCACCTTGATGGTGTCACTCAGTTCCACGGGCTCAGCCAGCTTGATGATGGCGATGTCGTTCCTGAAATGCAAAGTGGAGGTTTGGCAAATGTGTAGAGGTGGTGCTGGGTGTCAAGCCTTGGTGGCCAGGGACTCCCCCCGTAAACACCTACCAGCAGCTTATTAGGTAGTGGACACTCTGGAGGACAAATGACTGTGTGTGTGTGTGTGTGTGTGTGTGTGTGTGTGTGTGTGTGTGTGTGTGTGATGTCAGGTGGCTTGCTCTCTTGCTCTCCACCTTATTCCCCAGTTGGTCTCTCACCAGTGAGGGTGGCAGTCAGGAAGCCCTGGAGAGCTCCATGTCCCCACCTCCCACGGCCCCGAGGTTAGAGGTTCTCCCAGCCACACACAGCTTCTCATGTGGGTGCTGGCTCGCACATGGTGCTAACTTTACGTTTGACACAAGTTAGGGTCATTTGGGAAGGGGTCTTGATCTAGAAAAAAACCCTTTTCATAGGATTAGCCTGTAGGCAAGTCCGTAGGGCATTTCTAGATTGATGATTGATGTGGGAGGGCCCAGCTCACCGTGGGTGGTATCATCCCTGGATGATGAGAGCAGGCTAAAAGCCGGGCTTGTGGTGGCACACGCCTTTAATCCCAGCACTCGGGAGGCAGAGGCAGGCAGATCTCTGTGAGTTTGAGGCCAGCCTGGTCTACAGAGCGAGATCCAGGACAG